CATTGTCTTTCATCTAAATACTAATTCCTTGGAGAATGTAGGCGAGTGGCCTGTGGGTGTCCAGTTAGCTAACTGATGATAGAGCAAGGTCAAGGTGTGCAGATAGTCTCCAGTGATAACTTGAGCTGGGGGGATGGGAAAGAACCTTTAGGCTTCCCCACATAGATTTTCCAGCTCTGTTTTAAATTATTTTGTGTGTGTGTGTGTGTGTGTGTGTGTGTGTGTGTGTGTGTGTGTATAAACGTGGACCAAGAGCCCTGGAGTCCTGGAAGTCTGAACATGAAGAGGACCAACCATGGTGCCTTGGTTCTGACTCCATTATTCATTGTCCTTGCCTATGAAGGCAAGCCCTTTTGTTCTCAGTTGTCTTTCCCAGCGGATTTCAGGTTCTTTCATGGTGGACATCCTCAGAAAGATTTTGACAGGAAGTGTGTGAAACAGGTCAGCATTTGTAAAACAGTGTCTTGGTTTTGTTCAGAGTAAAAGATAGGCAAAGACTTAGCTAAAGGTTCTATTCGGAAATAGGGTATCCAGTTACTGGCTTAGCTGTGGAGAGCTCGGTTGTTAACTGTGTGGGAGGAATAGTGTTCTGTGAATGGACCATGCACGCAATAGAAATGCAGCTCGTGTCGCACTTGGTTCTGTGGGTTAAACCCTCAGCACTCCACCAAGGAGAGCGGAAGGACATCTCTGTGTACCGTGAGCCCCTGCTCATCCCATCCTGGAGAGCCGTCACCTTCCCAACCAGTGGCAGGTTCTTTGATTTGTTGAAGAAGGAAATGGAAGGGACAGGAGGAAATCGAGACCAGAGGGCAGCTTCCTTGTGTGTTTTTTTAAAAATGGGACATAGGGATGGGCAGACTCCTTCAATGGTAAGAATTTATAGAAAGCAAGTAGATTTTTCTGATGTGTGATCTCTTTCATTTGTTTTGTATCATTTTGAAGCACTTTCATGCATATTGCTTAACCTGAAAGTGCTCTGTGACGTAGCTGGGTAGGAAAATTACTTTTATACCCTTCTGTACATGGGGTGAGTGAGGTCAGTGAAGATACGTCTTTTGTCCAAGGTCACACAGCTGGTCATTTGCAGATACACGACTCAAAACATACATCTTTTCCATATTTGCTCTTCAGTTCTGGTGTCTTTCCTATTTCACCATTTTGGGAAATGTCTCGAAAGGGCGGAAAGGGAGATGCCTGCGTGTGTGCGTGTGTGTTGGGGATGGATGGTGAGGAAAAGGAACAAGAGGTCTAGAGAAGAGGGAGCCTGCTTCTCCCTCTGCCTCTGCCTGCCACTCTGTCTGCCTGTGCTCGCTCGCTCTCTCTCTCTCTCTCTCTCTCTGACAAATAAATAAATAAATAAATAAAATCTTAAAAAAATATATTTTAACTAAAATTCAGGCCATCCGGCTCTGTGTCAGTGTACAGAGCAGAGATCCCCACCTAAGTAGGGCTAGTTGCCCATGGTGGAGTGAGGGTCAGTTTTTACAGAGGCTCGGAGGGGATTGGATGGGACCATAGGCAGATACCCTAAGAGCATAGAGGGCTTTGCTAGTAAAGGACAAAGCAGCTGGGGATTGGAGTCAGGAGGCTAATGGAATAGGATAAGAAATTGCTCTTCTGGGGATGTAGAATCTCCAAATGTGAGGGAACTAATAAGCAGATAGATTTTTGGACTCAGCCTAGATTGCTAATCCAGAGAAGCCCCTCTGAAGAGGAAGACAGCTTCTCCCCTGATCTGGGGAATGTGACTAAGAGAAGTGCCAGTAAACTTTGGGTTATGATCTGTATGGGGGATGACTATGCTGCCATTCAAACCAACTTAATCTAAGATAAGGGATGACTTGGTTCATAGGACTAAAAATCCAGGTAGAGCTGGGTTAAGGCACAGCCTGAACTAATGGCTTAAATGAGGTTCAGGTTCACGAGGCCCTGTGTTTTCCTCGGTTTCTCTGCTCTGTCTTCCACAAAGTTGGCATCATTTCACAAGGGAGCCCCTTGACCGGACTAGATTCTCCCCCTCACATTTGTAAAAGGGTTGCAGCTGTTCCAGACCTCACAGTGTCATCCCATCCTATTCAAGGAAAGACTCTTGTAGCTACTGGAGAAGAATAAGGAAGCAAACATCTTCTTGGCTTTCGTTGTTTTATGTGCCCAGAGGCTTGGATGGAAAGACCATCCTTGGAGTAGGGGAGGGCCCAACTCCACGCACAGTGCATGGTTGAAATGGGGAAGCAGTAACTTCTGAAATGAAATTTCGGGGCACTTCTGCCAGAAAGGAGAATCCAGGCTGGGTGGTAAATTATAGAAGTCTTCCATACCAACCAAAGGCATAAGGGGATGAAATAATTCCAGATAGATTTCCCTGGGGGATTCTTTGAGGGAGGGAGTAATGCTTATTAGCACATGTATTAAGAGAATAGACTAAGATAAAAGGAGAGACATAATAATTGCTTGACTTAAAGAACAAAAGGATTTCATTCCCTCTCACATAATAGTGGTCTAGGGCTTTGCTTCACGCTGTTAACTCTTGGTCCCATCTTTCTTCCTCATGTCCTGTGTCATCTCTTAGGTCTGGGTTGTCACGGGTTTCAACAACAAAGTGGGGAGAGAAAGTATAGAGGAAGCAGCTGTCTGTTTTAGGGGTTCTGTGCCATGAGTGCTCTGCACCTCCCCCTCACGCTGTGTTGATGAGAACTTGGCCCATGGCCCGTGTCACTGCAGGGGCTGCTAGGAAATGCGGTCCCTAGCAGGTGACCAGTGATTGGCCTTCAGCTCTGTGATTATAAAAGAAGGCGAGAAGGAATTTGGTGAGGAGTAGGCAGTCTCCATTGTAAGGGCCTATTCAGCCAGAGCGGCCCCACCCAGGTTGGACTGCCATTTTGCTGTTTATGCACCAAAACGCAAATTGACCCTGCCCCCTCCCCCCAGGGGAACTTACTTAAAAGCAAGCCTGGGAAACCAGTCCCAGGTAACAAAGCCCAAATACAAGGGCATGTCAGGTCAGGTCAGGTAGAGATAACAGCCTGAATGCAGGGGTGAGTCTGGTCAGGTGGAGACTTCCAATCAGTAAAGCCGCATACTGTCTCCCTAGCTACCAAGGAGTATGGGCCCCTCCCTTTGGGTGCCCCTTGGGTGCCTATTCTGACCAAGGTGATAGGCTTGTTCAGATGTCTACTATAGGGTAAATTGTAATTCAGTTGGTCGCTAATGTGTGACCTAGCATGACTGTGCAGCTTTCTCTGTGTGTTACAATCTCATTCGCCACCTGTGTGTGGCCAGGCCCAACCACATGGCCTTTGCTCTATAAAAGTTAGTCTGTGAGGCAGGGAGGGGTCGTGCTCTCTGTAAGAGGCGTGGCCCCGACCGGTTGGTTTGATTCTCAATGCTTGGCAGGAAATAAAGGTTTGCTTGACCTTTGCTTTGTATCAGTCTCACTCCTTTAATCATGGACCCGTTATTGGGGGATCCAACATTGGGGACCCAACACCATCAAATGCCCAAACTAGCTTTCCTAGGAGGCTTAGCCATCCTGAATGATGTTCCTGTGGCACATAGCAGCGCCTCCTCAGGAAAGAATCTTCCTCCAGTCCCTTCATTTGGGGAACCAGGAAGGCTTTCAAAGGAGCTCAGAGTTCGGTTCAGGTATATATGACAGAAAATCTGTCATAGCAGTGACCTAAATGTTTGCTTTTTCTTCTCTTCTGTAAAAGACGTTTTTGGTATAAGTGATCTGTTAATGGTGCCAGGGACTCTATTTATCCTACTGTTCTGTCATCTCGGCATTTGGTTCCCTCCTCATAGTCCAAGATGACTGTCTGAACTCCAGTCATTCTTCAATTTTCTCTGGCAAAAGGAAGAGGAGAGGCCTCAGAGGGCATTTCCTGGAAGTCACACACAGCACTTCCGTGGACACCCTGCTGGTCAGAACTTAATCACTTGGGGCACCTAGCTGCAAGGGGGGCTGAGGAAGTAGCCTTCCTTCCAGGAGTTTATGAGCTCCACACGGTGGCTTCTTGTGCTGAGGAGGAAGGGGAGAACGGACATTGGACAACAATAAACAATCTCTGTGAGAAGAGACCACGTGCCCCCCCACCTCTGCCTGCAGATGTGTGTGCATTTCTCTGCCCGTGCTAAATTCTAAAACCCATTTTCATATTTATCTGAAGGAAAGAAACCGCCATAAGCGCCAGCGTATTAAGTGCATACCAGGTGCAAAACACGATCTGTATCACTTACTCTCATGAGAGCGCTCTCCCAGTGCGTTACCCAGCAGAGTTTAGCATGCGGCTGTTGACAGAGGTGTGGGCAGAGTGGTGGGAGCCAGAAGGACTTCCTGGAGTAACCAGAGTTTAGCGACAGCAGGAAATCTTAACCTCCTGGAAAGGGTAAGGGGACAGACCTGTGTCACCAAAGCAGCCTGACCAGAGCTGAGAGACCCTAGAAGAAAGGCTGCCTGTCAGGAGGTTATAACCGTGGAACGAAGCCGAGCCAGCACCCCTGTGAGCCTGGGCCAGAATGACCCCTGGAGGGTGAGAATTACCCTGACCTGTCTCCCCTCCCACCCTGGATCTCCTAGCAGTGTCCCACTTCGGCTGAGTCCCAACTGGCAGGCTTTAGAGAGCCAGGGCCCCTAGGGAAAACAGTCCAGGAAAGCAGCTCCCCGGGGAACACAGCAGGGAAGAGAAGGGCAGAAAGTGGATTGGGAGTTTGGGAGAGCAGCACAGAACAACCCACACAGTATTACGATTGCTTTTTCCAAGTAGGGAAACAGGCATGGAGAAGCGAAGTTACTTGCCCAGCTGGGAAGCAATAGACAGGACCTTCTAGCTTCACATGTGTCCTGAAGGGTAAGGCCGAGCACACGGCACACTTGCCTTTCCTGTCCGCTGCCCAGTGCTCTGCACACAGTAGGCATCTATATATGGTCAGTGATTGAAATCATCCAGAGAGGCATATTTGGGCATACGAGTAACCGTTTCCTCTTCCTTGTCATGCAGGTCGCCGTCCCAAACCTCAGCGAGGCGGTGCAGGACGCAGACCTGCTAGTGTTTGTCATTCCCCACCAGTTCATTCACAGAATCTGTGACGAGATCACTGGGAGAGTGCCCAAGGAAGCACTGGGCATCACCCTCATCAAGGTAACTGGCCCCTGACCCCAGGCAGAAAAAGCATTGCTAGACTTCAGTTATAGGGAAATTTTATTTCCTCTCACTCCTGTTTGTTGGAAGTAGGAGCTGAAAGGGAGGCGATGGCACTTTTTGTTTTCTGGTTTTTTTTTGTTTTTTTTTTTTTAAATTCCTAGAAGGTAATTGATGACACATCCCAGGAGCTTCCCTAAGCTCAACTTCAGGCGAGGGCCGCTTTCTATCACAGAGGGTTTTAGCCTTGGCAGTGATGTGAGGATGGGCTTCTCTGGGTGAACCTTGCTGTCAGGAAGAACCTGTCTAGGACACGGGTCTCTCAGCCTGCGTCCTGGGAATCACTGGTGGTTTGTGTTGCCGGGAAATGCATCCTCGTTCGTTTCCACTCCTGGGTACATGCTTGAAAGGGAGTTGTTTTTTGTTTTGTTTTGTTTTTTTAAGATTTTATTTATTTATTTGACAGGGATCACAAGTAGGCAGAGAGTCAGGCAGAGAGAGGGGGGAAGCAGGCTCTCTGCTCAGCAGGGATGCTGAGGCAGATGCGGGGCTTCATCCCAGGAACCTGAGATCATGACCTGAGCTGAAGGCAGCGGCTTAATCCACTGAGCCACCCAGGCGCCCCCGAAAGGGAGTTTTTAACCAGAAGTTCATAGACTACCCCCACGCGTCCCTAGACAAAATTCAGGAAGTTCCTGGCTTAAATGTGGGGGAGAAAAATTACATTTTTGTTCATTTTAACTTCTAACTGAAATGAGCATTTTCAAATGCCAGCCATAGGCCAGACTTGCAGTAACTATAACATTAGCAGGACCTGTGGCTCTGTTGTCGACAGAAATCCCAGCTTCCTTCCACTTCATAATGCCTCCAGGTATCTCAAGGTAGCATTTACGCTGATCATGACCTTGAAATTGTGGTCATTGGTAAACCTGCCAAATCCTCTTTTTCTAATTGCATTAATAAAACAGCGCATTTATGACTTGTCATAGATCTGTGTGATTTCTTTTTTTAAGAACATTTTGATAACTGTGTTTCAGTATAATTGGCTTCCTGGGTCATCTCATGCATTTTGCTTTATGCATATGAAATTCTGAGAGTGAGTCCATAAAACTTCACCAGACTGCCAGAAGTGAAGGCCACATCATAAAAAAGGTTAAGAACCCTGTGGAGAGACTTTGTTCTCTCAAGCGGTTCACAGATGAGTATTTATGGAAGCAGACTTGAACAACTCACACGCCAGTTATAAATACAATGGATAAATAAATAGTGGACTTTTAATTTTGGAATACTACATGGTGGTAAATAGGAACATAGCAGAACGTTCATGCAGCCACATAGGTGAGTCTGCAAAATGATAGTAGAGCACCAAGTGGTACCTCATGGGGGAATGGTACAGTTGCACTTACAGACTTTCAGAAGCAGGCATTACGGTGTAACAGATTATTAGGAATATAGCCTTATGTGGCAAAACTTGGTCAAGAAGAGAAGGGAACAATGTGTACAGCCTTGGGTAGTGGTTCACCCTGGTGGGGGTGGGGACCAGTGGTGAGAAGGAGTATGGACTAGGGGAGGAACACACGGGACTTCAGTGGTACAGGCCATGTTCTGGGTGGTCACATGTTCATTTTCTCCCCCCTTTTGTTGTTACACAGACACGGTATGTATGTTACCCTTGGAAGAGCTATTTTTCAAGTTGTGTATCCCGCTGGGTGCCTGTACCTGCATTAGTAACAGAGCGACCATGTCATGCCTTTTTCATTTGGTTTGTTTTCTTCTAACTTGTCGACATCCTTAACAGGGCATAGACGAGGGTCCTGAGGGGCTGAAGCTCATTTCCGACATCATCCGGGAGAAGATGGGCATTGACGTCAGTGTGCTCATGGGAGCCAACATTGCCAGTGAGGTGGCTTCAGAGAAGTTTTGTGAGACCACCATTGGTGAGGTTGCCTGGGTGGGGAGGCCTGGGGAGCCCGGATACGGTGTTTTAAAATGTACATTTGCGATTTCTGGTATTTACTGGACTCTTCTCATGTGGATATTCAGCGGTATGGGGATTTAATGTAAAGGAGGTCCTCCTGTGGAACTGAAGTGCTTCAACAGCCTCCAGAATGGAAGTAAAGGCCAGGAGGCCATTTGGACCTCCCCTGATCAGATAGTGAGTTAACAAGGTTAAACACAAAAATGCAGGGTTGCTTATACTGAGAAGCGGGTGATAACATCCATGGAGGGGCTCCCCTGGCCTTAGAAAACCCAGATTTTTTTTTTTTTTTTTTTTTTAACTCACAAATGCCAGTGTCTGATCCTCATTGGATTCCAGTGCCATTGAAAGCTTTGGCAGCACATATACTAAACATTGGAATGATAAAAATTGATGGGAATGAGCCCTGTTTCAGGTGAGTTATCTAAAACTCTGTGAACAAGTTACCTGCCCCAAGGTTACATAGTTAGTTTAGAACCCAGGCATGAACTTGGCCATCTTGTTTCCTAAATTAGAAAGCTCTTTCTACTCTTTTTTTTTTTTTTTTTT